AACACAAGGTTTTCTTTCCATAATTATACGTCTACTACTGATTGTCTATCCCATGTAGTTACATAGGCCTATATATTGATCATTAACTAAAACTTGTTTAAGAATTATAATAATGCATATAACCTGGCTAATGACTTTTGTTTTTATTCTTTATTTTTCAGAAATTAACTGAAATTGCATATACTTTCACAATTTGTATTTTTTTCACCATATGGATTTAAATGGGTTTTTTTTTCAATTCTGTTAAGGTGGTTATATCTTAAAGTCCTGTACTTAACTTACATATATATTTATCATTAACTAAAACTTATTTAAGAATTATAACAATATATAAAACCTGGCAATGTTTTTTTTTTGTTTTTATTTTTATGTTTCAGAAATTAACTGAAATTTTTTTCACCGCATGGACTCGAATTCAACCCTGGCCATCAGGCGCAAGCTCGGTGGTCTAGAGGTATGATGCCAGGCTAGTGATCTGGAGATCGTGAGTTCGAGTCCGAGTCCCACCCGAGTACAACTTGCGCGATTTTTTTCGCAATTGTTTTCAAACGTACTGAGTATTCAGTACATTTCGGTACATAGCTTTATTTAATTATTATTTTTACTACTTTTACTATATAATTATTACTACATTGGTTTTGTTATTGTTATTGTTATTATTATTATTTATTATTATTATTATTACTGTTATTGGGTTTTACCAGCAGTAGCTGGAAAAATCCATCGTTCTTATTCTGATCTTTCCCCCTTTTTTTCTTGCATACATTTCCCTATCTTTTTGCACTGGTTTTTTTCTAGCCGGCACTTTGGTCACTTTCCATGCTTGGAACTTTACCATGCTTTGCCGAAGCATTGACCATATCATGGATGTGCTTTCTAATATTTGGTGTCAATCTAGGGCGGGGGTGTGCATGTGAGAACCAATTTAAAGTGATTTAAGGGCAAACACAGTCGCAGTGATGGCGCCAGGACCTGCCCGACGGAGGGGCTAAAGGCCCCGACAAGGGGGGGGGGCTATTGGAGCGAATCGAATCTGACTTGGCTGGGGGCCAGGAGGCCGCCTAGGCCCCACGGTGGGGGTCCAGGGGGCAGGGGCGAAGCCCCCTGGAAGCCACGGATATTTGATGAATTATGGCGAATTTTAATTACTTATTTGATAGGCTATCTAAATGAGCATTGTCATAACAGAACGCAAATTATTTTTAAATAGTCTCATTGAATTATTATTATTGTTATTGTTATTGTTGTTGTTGTGTTGAAAAGTTATTTGATAGGCTATCTAAATGAGCATTTGTCATAAAAGAACGCAAATTATTTTTAAGTAGTCTCATTGAATTATTATTATTATTATTATTATTATTATTATTATTATTGTTATTGTTGTTGTTGTTGTTGTTGTGATGAAAAGTTAACACAAACAATATGGTGGCTAAACGAATATTGCATGTTTTTTTTTTTTATTTCTTTGTTTCCCGACAAAATTCATCATCAAGTGGGGGGGGGGGGTTATCCCCCAGCCCCCTCTGGCGCCACCACTGCTAGGTCGGCTCATATTCGCGCAAGGTTATAAGTCTCCAAGTAGGCCTACCTCGCCGATTACCATTGCAGCAATAGTTTGAATCTCACTAACTTCGCGGTAGCTGTGAACTTGCTTTTTTTAAACTTCAGAATTTGTTTAGTAACTACAGTATAAGTACTTGGGTTTCCGGTTTAAAAAAAATTTACTTTATACTTTTATACGACCTTTTTTGTTGCAATTTCAACTTCATTTCTCATTATATCAATGAAGAAAATCACTATGTTCTGTTGTACAAACAGACATAGTAAGTCTAGTTATTTTTGTTTTTGTTGTAGGTTATTATTATACTGCTGCTTCTTAAGAAAAGAAGATCAAGAAACTGCATCTCGATTTCTTGCCTAGTAGAGGAGTTAGAGTGTTTATTTCTCACGGGTAAGATTGTTGGAAGGAGAGAAAGAGGCGCCATTGAGTACCTTTCCAAGAATTGCAGCCTGGATTGGTGTAGATAACAATAATCTTTTGAGTTTGGCCAAGGAAATGAAAGCTTGGCATCCATGGTCGACAACGTCACTAGATATGGCACATAGAGATAGGAGGTGGAGGGGATGGGAGAAAACGGGGGTGGGGG